CACTACAATATCTATTTTTACATCAAATCTTAGTACAATTTAGAAAATTTATTGTGACTAAAAATTATACTGATGTAAGTCATGTAATATAAATGGATTTTAAAAAATTATATATACGATTAACTTTTATCTTAGAAATGAAAGGGTTAAATTTTGCATATGAGATGAGTAATATTGGATTGATAAAATTTTTGAAGGTTTTTTGAACACTTTTATTGAAAATATAAATATGCATATTTTTTAAGGGTAATATAGTCAATCAAAAAGTTTTATAGAAATTGATATTTATATATTAAGAATAGATAATTAAAAGAGATGATATAGATAATTTGAAGTTTTTAAAAACATAAGAATATAGTGGTAATTGAGATATTTAAATGTGAAACGATAGAGTTGTCTTTACAATATCTTATAAAGGTAAAATAGAGATTCAATTTTTTTTTTATGTTTATTAATAGTATAGATATAGATTCATCTAGGGAATGTACATATATGTGTATGTGTGTTTGTGCTTATTTTCTACACCTTCTAGACTATGTGTGTGGGTTTGAGCTTATTTTCTACACCTTCTAGACTACGTCGTAATGTTATCCAATGATCTACATTAATATAGAATAAAATAATAGAGTAGGTTGTAACTAATCTATAAGAAGTCAAAACAAAAATGTAAAAGCAAAGAAGGGTAGGTTGGATGACATTTAAATTGTTTCATTAAATGATTTATGGGTAGATGCATATGTTGTTTTCCACACACATTCGTAGTTACAGCGTGTTTACATTAGCAGACTAAGTACCTAATGGACTACATCGACGTTTATTTAATGGTATAATTATTTTTTTTTTTTTGGATAGACTGCGATATTTTACACTATTGGGGATGGGGATGGGGATGGAGAGGGGGAGGAGGAGGGGGACCAGCAACGTACCACCCTATTATGGAGGGCCCCAACCATTTAGTGGTATAGTTAATTACATGAGACTCAAAGTCTATCTATAAGATCAGTGAACACCATGGATAAACATAAGATAAATCGTGCATCTTCATCTAATTTGATTTATGATTTCTTCTCATATATTTGACAAATGTTGATTGTAACTTGATGATGCACATAAGTGAATTTATGTGCTATCAACAGTCAAGTAATTAATGAGAGAATCAATAAAGCAATTAATAAAAGAGACAAAGATTGGGTCAATATAAGCAACACATAGATGTATAGTAGTTCGGTCAGGGTGACATACTCCACTTCGAAGGCAGCAATGGTAGCTGGAGACCTTTATTAATAAAATAGAAGGCGTGAGAGAGAGAGAACAAGGGTAACCTCAGGGTAAAGAGATTGTTGTGTAAAGGGTGTGTAGCAGGTGTGTCCCACACGTGTAGATGAATTACAATTTATAGGCACATAACCTTGGTTGAGGCGGTGGCGTGATGGGATAGGTGACTAATCTTTTGGAGAGAATAGCTATTGTTAAAGATAGGTACAATTAAAGATAATATTGATCTTTGAGCAATGGTTATCCCGGTAATTACTTCCCATGTGTGCTGGCTTCTTGGGTCTCTTGAATCTTGGACTGAGCCATGGCCACAAGCTAGGTTTGACCCGTCTTTTACCTAATTTGGGTTTACTTAATTAATTGGGTCTATCCCAGTTAAATCTGGGCTCATCATAATTCATGATGGTTGTTCACTTAGTGTTATGAATTTTGCATAATAATTATTTATTTAACACTTTTAGTTCTTATTTAAATTGTTTATGATATTTATTATTTTTTTTCAAAATGTATGTACATGCATGAGATTGAATGAATGATAACAAGAATAGCCTTCGGCACAAGGCATTTTGTTAGACTTTATTATATATACACTTCTCAATTATAGATTACGTTAGACATATTCCTAATGTTGTGGTACATGGAAGGGACTATGTTGCGTTAATGATGTACGACCGTATTTGGACTTAAAATATAAAATTAAAAAAAAATTCGATGCATGGGTAACTTGCAAGCCTGAAAACATTAAATAATTGCCATGTGTCAAAATCTGAAGAAGAGATGGGAGATGATTAGTCATGGCCTTGTTTGAAAAAAGAGAGTAACTACCTGAGAGTTACAAGCCAATTAATCGTTAATGGATAGAGAAATCGTTGAAGAAAGTGATTATAAAAGGCAGACAAGAAGGAAGTGATTATAAAAGGAGGACAAAAAGGAAGTGAAAGAACAACTCAAATTCCTCACAAGATTCACAATCAAGGCATTTAGGAGCAGTGTTAAAGTTGATTTTAGGAAATAGTTAGTGTTTTAATCAAAAGTTGTTAATTCAGTCTTTCTATAAATGAAACCTATTTGGTTGGATTAATAACGGAATTCACTTTTATTAATTCATAATTCTGTGTATTCATCACTTCAAACGTCATCCAAGGAAGTCATGAAATAAAACAATTGAACCCATCCACAAGCAATCATTTGAGAACTGCTTGTCGATTGAAGCATTCCATTAATCATAACAGATTTTGGAGCAACAATCTTTTGACACACCAGGTGAGATAACATTCTGAACTTGGATACAAGTAAATAGTGTGTGTAACTATGTGTGTATGTGTGTGCGTGTGTGTGCACAAAATGTGTGTGTGTGCGCGTAGTGCACATGTGTATGTGTAACTGTGTGTGTGCAATGCATGTGTGTAACTATGTGTGTGTGTGTGTGTGTGCACAAAGTGTGTGTATGTTTCTCTGTGTATGTGTGTGCACAAAGAGGGAGAGAGAGGGTGTGTGTGTGCGCGCATGTCTGTGTCTATGTACGAGTGTGTGCACTGCATATGTTTAGCTGTGTGTGTGTGTGTGTGTGTTCACAGAGTTTGTGTGTCTGCAGTGTGTAAGTGTGTGTATGTGTGCATAGAGTGTGTGTGTTCAGTGCGTGTGTGTGTGTAACAATGTGTGCATGTGTATGCGTGTGTATGTGCACAAAGTATGTGTGTGAACACTAAGAGTGTGTGTTTGTGTACAGTGCATATGTGTAACTATGTGTGTGAATGTGTGTGTGCACATAGTGTGTGGGTGTATGTGCACGGAGGTTGTGTGTGCAATGCGTATGTGTGACTGTGTGTGTGCAATGCGTATGTGTAACTGTGTGTATGTGTGCACAGCGTGTGTATATGGGTCTGTATGCACAGAGTGTGTGTGTGTGTGTGTGCAGTCTGTGTGGGTGCGTCTGCGCACAAAGAGTGTATGTGTAAGTAATTATGTGTATATACGAATGCATAGAGCATTTGTGTGTGTGGGTGTGTGAGCACAAAGTGTGTGTAATTGTGTCCGTGTCTGTGTAACTATGTGTATGTGCAATGCGTGCGTGCATGTGTGTGTAATTTTGTATGTATATGTGTATTGCAAAAGACAAGAAAGAAGACTTATATGTGTCGCTCGCAAGGAGGATATCTAGGTTATGGTTTGTGGAGAGAAGAATAATTACTAATTAAAATTTTATTAAGATTGTAAAGTATTTTGAGATAAAATTATCATATTATAAATATTATTAAAGATAATTTTATTGAGCGTTTTAAACTTTCAGAATTAAGTAAATGGACTCTTACTTAATATTGTAACATATTTTTAAAGAGTAGTTAATGTATTAAGGTATTAAAATTTTAATTATCAAACGAGTTTAATTCATTTTAAGTGTTAAATTTGAGTTAAAAAACTCGCCATGAATCAATGACTCTTGTTTTTTTTTGTTGTTGATAAACTAGGTACTTCCCACCAATCGAGCTCATTTGGAGTTGTGGTCAATAGTCAATTTTGGTTCACGCATAAAACTTCTTTTCCACGCGCGTAAGAAATAAATTTATAGATAAGGTTGTATCAAGGAATATCAATTCCCACTTGCGGAACACTTATTTATTTTATTTTTTTTTAGAGAGAATTACACTCAGATTCTCTGAAATTTGTCGTTTAATTACTTAAATTTTCTGACATTTAAAATATTACATACAAGTGTCCTAAAATTTATACGCGCGTAACACCTAGGTTCCTATTATAAATATATCTGTTAATAAATTATAGTTAGACCTCTTAAAATTTGTAGGTATATAATATTTAGACCCTTTAAGTTTAAAATATTATATTTAGATTAAAAATACTCCAATCAAATATAAAATATAAAATATTTTAAAGTTTACAATCAAAATTCATGTTCTATTGTATCATTTATTGAAAAAAATTAAAAATAAAAATTAAATTTTTTCTTAAAAAATTGTAATTAGTATACAATTATATTATCTATTAGAATTTAATTTAGTCATTTAAATGACCAAATTAAAATACCAAACTACTCCAATTAAATATAAAAGATATTATGTCCATTATTGTCTTGATTTTTTGTTTAATTTTTCAGTTTTGTTTTAATAGATAATATAAATATATACTAACTATATTTTTTTTAAAATAAATTTTATTTTTTATTTTATTTCATTAAATGATATAATAGAGCATGAATTTTGAATGTAAAATTCATGTTCTATTATGAATGACTTAAACCTATTATTTGATTTTTTTAGTTTTATTCCAATAGATAATATAATTGTATACTAATTATAATTTTTTAAAGAAAAATTTTTTATTTTTAATTTATTTCAATAAATGATATAATAGAACATGAATTTTGATTGTAAAATTTAAAATATTTGATTTTTTATATTTGATTAGAATAATTTTTTGTCTAAATATAATATTTTAAACTTCAAGGACGTAAGTATTATATACTCATAAACTTTAGGAGAGTTTAAGTATAATTTTTAAAAAAATATATTTATAACAGCGGTTTAAGTGTTACGCACGTACAAATTTTAAGACATGTAATATTTCGGGGTGCAGGTATAATTCTCTAATCCACGACTTTATTATTAGATTTTTCCTTTTAAACTTTCGGAATCGGGGGAAGTAGCACAAGGGCGAAGATCAGATCACTCTAGATCACTAAGATCAGAGAGAGAGAGAGTGTGTTAACAATGAGTGATTCGGAATCGCCGGTGATATTGCCGAAACACGTCGCCTTCAAGGGCGCTAATGGCAAATATCTCAGCGCCCAGTGGATCGAGGGATACCGATATTTGAAGTTCGTATCCGATGATATTGGAGATGAAACGGTGGGAAACGAGATTTTCCCTGTTGGCGATGGAACAATCCGCATAAGGAGTAATATCTTCGGCAAATTTTGGAGGCGCAGCCCTAATTGGATCTGGGCTGACTCAGATGACACCTCCTGCAACGACTACGACACCTTGTTCAGGCCGATCAAAGTCAACGACCGTGTGATCGCTCTCTGCAACTTGGGTAATGACCATTTCTGCGTTAGTCTTACCACCGAGGGCAAGGTAGACTGTCTCAATGCCGCTAAGTCCACGATAACGAATATGGCACGCCTGGAGGTGGACGAGGTTGTTTTGTCAAGGGAGATCACTAATATCCGCTATCGCACCGGGGAAGCCAAGATCTACAACGAGGGGTTCGTCATGTTGAACAACTTCACTGCCACTAACAAAGGCCGAGAACCCAACACTATAGAAAAAGATATCGAGTTTACGCAGAAGAGGAGCACAACTTGGAAGTCCAGCGTTTCATTGAAGGCGGGCATCAGCACCACATTTAAGGCCAGTGTTCCACTTGTCGCAGATGGAGAGATCCAATTTTCGGTTGTGGGTACCATGACACACGAGTGGGGAGATACCGTCGAATTCGAGTATAAAGATGTGTACAAGCACACGGCTCCGGTGCCGCCAAGGACTACGGTTAAGCTTAGTCTGTTAGCGACATTGGGTTGTTGCGATGTTCCCTTCTCGTATAAAGTTGTCATGTCTGTTGTTTATGTAACTATATATTTCCAGTATCGTTGAAACGAAATGGTGTTCTACTTGAATATATATATATCTCATGTGTTTTTTGTGCAGCTTCTTTTGATACATCCACCTAAGGTCGGCCCTACATCTAGGCCATTAAGATGCCCACCAAGGCTTTGCTTCATGTTCAATTGATAAAGAGCTCTCGTACGATTGTTTGTGAATAAACTCTATTATTTTATTTCAGGACTTCATTGATGAAATTTAAGGAATTAACAAAGAAATATATCTTTATTAATTCAAAATTTTTTGTTATAATGTGATTGTTTTAATAATCTTTGATTATAATACTAACTATTTCCTAAAAATTAACTCTGACACTACTTCTAAATGCCTTCATCGTGAATCTTTTGAGGGATTTGAGTTATTCCTTTATCTTCTTTCCTTTTTTCTTTTATAACGACTCCTCTCGACAACTTCTCATTTATGGACGGTTATTTAATTTCATAATTTCCAGACAGTTGTTTCTTTTTTACACCAGACCAACCGTTCAACTAGTGGCCCACAGGGGCTAAAAAATATATTTTCCACTTATTATACGACGCCGTTTTACACTACGCCTAAAACCATACACTGTTGCACCTTTCTTCGGTGGACTCCTTATCTCCGCTGCACGCTTCCCCAAAGCTGCCGCCTCACCTCTCTAAAGCGCGTCCAATCACTCACTGCGGTCAACTCTTTCATTGTCTCCTGTGAGTGATCCATATTGAACACAAATTTTGCTTTCAATGTAAATCCTTTACTCCTCTTTGTTAGTTTTTATAAACTCAATTTTTAAAGGGTAGTTTTTGTATTTTTGAGTTTATGATGTAATATTGAAAAAGTCATGATATTAGATGATATTTGAAGAGATAGTCACTAGAAGAGTCTAAATTTTTTGGGAGGTCTGTTCATGTCTTTGGGAGGATTGTTTATGTACTGCTACATGAAAAAACTGAAGGAACAAAATTTAGTTTAATGCTTGGAGGCTGCTAGCCATTGAATGGGCAGATTCAAGGTTTTTTGACTGGAAAACAGAGGTATAAAAATGTTGGACTGTTGCTGCCAAAACAGAGAGGTTTTATGCAGAAAAATAGAGAAAAAGTGAGAAAAAAATCTGTGTTGTTGCCAGAAAAAAATGCAGCAGGCTGTTCAAGAGGAGAAGCTCTAGTTGTGAGTTTTGAAAGCTTATTTTGTGAGATGTTCTTGCTGAAAATTTTAGATAAGTTATTCCCCTTGTATTCTTTGATATTGTGATCATTTTTTATGAAATACAAAGGTGTTTTTTGAGTGAAATTAGTGTGGTAGTGGAGCAGATGTTTTTCCTCTGTTTTTGTGTTCTTTGGTGATCTATTTTGCTTTCATTCCCAACAAAAATGGTATCAGAGCGAGTGGTTATGACTACTATGAATCGATATCCCACCAAAAGTGTTCGTTTCAAGACTCTGGAGGAAGCTTGGTGTTTATTCAAGTCAAGTGTAGCCCGTCTTAGAGTATTTGGATTCATTGCTTATGCGAAGATTCTCGAAGCAAGGAGGACGACAAAGTTTGATGATAAAGGCGAAAAGAGCATTTTTCTTGGGTATGGTGATAGAACAATGGAGTACAAATTATACAACCCCATGACCAAAAAAATGATCATGACTAGAGATGTAATCTTTGAAAAGGAAGACATGTGGGATTGAAAAAAAAAATTTCAGCCACCGAAGTGGAACTTTTGTTTGAAGAAGAAGAGTCCGAAGAACCAAGGGAAGTCCCAAGAGAGCCACAGACACCTCCACATGGATCCCCCTCATCTTCTACAGGTGAATTATCATCATCACCATCATCATCTTCATCATCAGATTCAAGTTCAAGTGAAAGACCAAACAAATGAGAAGTTTGCAAGAGATTTATGAATCTATGAAAAATTTTGAAGGTAACTTGAATTTGTTTTGTTTGTTTATGGATTGTGATCTTTATGTTTTGAAGAAGCAGTTCAAGTACAGAAATGAAAAATAGCAATGGATGAGGAAATGAAGGCAATTGAAAAGAATGATACATGGACACTAGTTAGTCTTTCCCAATGTCACAAAACAATTGGTGTGAAGTAGGTATATAAAACCAAAAAAGATGCAAATTGTGAAGTCCAAAGATACAAGATAAGGTTGGTTGTTAAAGGCTACAAGCTAAGGGAGGTAATTGATTATGACGAAGTATTTGCTTCCGTTGCTCGTTTGGAAATGATTAGGTTGATGATTTCTTTGGCGGCACAAAACAAGTGGAAGATTTACCAACTTGATGTGAAATTGACATTTTTGAATGGATTTCTCGAGGGGGAGATTTATGTTGAACAACCTTTGGGGTATGTGAAAAAAAGACATGAAGATAAAGTATACAAGTTGAGAAAAACTCTCTATGGATTAAAGCAAACACCGCGCGCATAGAATGCTAGAATTGACAAATATTTTCGTGAGAATGGTTTTCAAAAGTGTCCTTTTGAGCATGCATTATATATGAAGATGGATGACAATAGAAGTGTGCTACTTGTTTGCCTTTATGTTGATGACTTGATCTTCACCGGTAAGGATCTAATAATATTTGATAAATTCAAGAAAAGTATGATTGAGGAGTTTGAAATGACTGATATTGACTTAATGTCTCATTTCCTTGGCATTGAGGTTAAGCAAAGTGAAGATGAAATTTTTATTTCTCAAAGTAGTTATGCAAAGGAAATACTCAAGAAGTTCAAGATGGATACTTGCAACCCGGTGAACACACCCGTAGAAGTTGGATTGGAATTGGGAAAGAGCATTAGTGGTGAAAATGTTGATCCAACTTACTTTAAAGTTTAGTTGGAAGTCTTTGGTACCTTACTTGCACAAGGCTGGACATTCTTTATGGAGTTGGTTTGGTTAGTAGATACATGGAAACACCGGGTCAAACTCATTTTAATGCGGTGAAGAGGAATTTACGTTATATTAGAGGTACACTCAATAATGGCTTATTTTATTGTTGCACTGATGATTTTAGACTTGTTGGATATTCAAAGTGATTGTGGACGAAACTTGGATGAAAGAAAAAGTATTTCGGGTTATTGTTTTTTCATGGGAGATACAGTTTTTACTTGGTCATCCAAGAAGCAAGCTATTGTTACTACATGTGAAGCGGAGTATGTGGCTGCAAATTCAACGGTGTGTCATGCTATTTGGTTGATTAACTTGTTGAATTATTTGAGATTTTCTCAAAAAATTTCCACGGAGATCCTTGTTAATAATAGATTGGCGATGACATTGTCAAAGAACCCGTTGTTCCATGAGAGGAGTAAACACATTGATACGTGCTACCATTTTATTAGAGAGCATGTGAAGAATGGAGAAGTGAAGCTGGTGCATTGCAAGATTCAAGATCAAGTTGCCGACATTTTTACAAAGTCATTAAATCATAATATGTTTGGAAGATTGAAAATGATGCTAGGCATGAGAACTCAAGGAATTGAGTTTAAAGGGGGATGTTAGTTTTTATAAACTCAATTTTTAAAGGATAGTTTTTGTATTTTTGGGTTTATGATGTAATATTGAAAAAGTCATGATATTATATGGTATTTGAAAAGATAGTCACTAGAAGAGTCCAAATTTTTTGGGAGGTCTGTTCATGTACTGATATATGAAAAAACTGAAGGGACAAAATCTGGTTTAATGCTGGGAGGCTGCTGGCCATTGAATGGGCAGATTCAAGGTTTTTTGACTGGAAAACAGAGGTATAAAAGGGGCTGGACTGCTGCTGCCAAAACAGAGATTTTATGCAGAAAAACAGAGAGAAAAAGTGAGAAAAAAAATCTGTGTTGCTGCCAGGAAAAAACGCAGCAGGCTATTCAAGAGCAGAAGCTCTAGTTGTGAATTTTGAAAGTTTATTTTGTGAGATGTTCTTGCTGAAAATTTCAGATAAGTTATTCCCCTTGTATACCTTGATATTGTGATCATTTTTGGTGAAATACAAAGGTGTTTCTTGAGTGAAATTAGTGTGGTAGTGAGGCAGTTTGTTTTCCCTCTGTTTTTGTGTTCTTTGGTGATCTATTTTGCTTTCATTCCCAACACTCTTGCACTATAACCTACATAAAAGGCTCAACACATTTGTATGTATTCTTTTGGAAACCTTTATCCTTCTTATCCAAGAAATTTTTACTTTAATCTTTCATAGAGCGAGATAGTTGAGAGGGAGAGAGGAAATAAAAGGTGGGGGCATTATTTTAAACGAGTTTGTGGTGTTTAAGTAATCATCTGGAATTAGTGGCGTTTACTTATACGGTGATTAGAGATTTTAATTGGGACCAATTATGAGTAAATTTATTAATGACGTTTGTGCCCAACGCCGGCGATTAAACACCAGGAATTATTGTTTTTCTTGGTAGTGTAGGGGCTCGTGCCTTCTCCTATCATACAAACAAATAACTAACATAGTGTGCATATAGCCGTGGAAACGCTGACCGTTCTTCAATCAATGTATGCTATTGATATTTCCTTAATATCCGGAGGTTACACTTGATGGTGCACACATGTAGATTTATGTACAATTAAATCAGTCAAGTGTGATGTAAAGTAATTAATGAAACAATTAATAAAAAGAGACAAAATATTGGGTGGTTAAGTATGGTTGACCTAACCATTGAAAGTGGCAACGATGACCGAAAAATTCTATTAATAAGAGAGTGCAAGGTAATAGGGGGAGAGAGACAGAGCGATAGTATGTTCAAGGTGAGATGTGTGAGATGCGCCCTCATGTGTAGGGGGTTTATGATTTATAGGCACAAAACCGTAGTTGAGGTGATGTCGTGAAGGTCAATCTACTAGTTTACTAGGGAGAATAGTTACAAATGGGGATAGATACTATCTTGAAGTTATGACTATCCCGAAGATTACTCTTCCATGTGCGTTGACTCTCCATAAATTCTTAAGATTTGAATTAGATTGAAGTTATGAGCTAAATCTGACCTACCTTTTTTATGATTTGAACTTGAACCACAAATTGGGTCAGGCCTA